TTTTTTCGATATCGTCGCACTCGGTTTCCACTAACTCGAGGTGAATTATTGACACATTTTTAATTCGGGAACCAGACCAAATATTATCCCAAGCTCCCAATTACTATAATTTTAATTAAAATATTATATTAAATAGTTAAAAAAACTTTATTTTTAGAGACGATGAAAAAGTCTTGACCATCATCATTTTTTTGATTGAATCAAATAATCATTAAATAATTAAATTTATGAAACTACCGAAAGTTAATTCCATCAATTATTTTTGTTTTAAAAATCATTTAAAATAATTTTCTTGAAAATAGTGGAATTAAACCCGATAATTCCAAAATATTTTAAGTGAATTAAACCTGGATTATACTGTATTTAAATAAAGTCTGTCTAAAATGTTGTCTATTTGACAAAAATTTACATAAAAAAAGTTTATAATTAGGAATTAGGAATAGTGTTGAAAATCTAGTAAAAATTATAAAACAACTATTTTAGAATGTTTTGAATGGTTTCCCGAAATATTACAGTTTTGATAGTCCAAAAATACCCAGACAAAGTTTTAAGACAGACAATATAATAAAATGTTTTGAAAACAAATAAAAATTCAACATTTCATTCAAATTTTACAAATTAAAAACAAACTAAATAATACTAAAGATGTCGAATATGGAAATGATCTATATGATGCAAGTATCCCTTTATTTACCAACACTAAAAGACATTTTGACTTTCATTTCAATCAATAAAAAGTGTCAAGATGCTGTCACGTCACTAAAAGTGAATCCCTGGTTCTCCAAATCTGGTGACATTGAAAATTTTTGTGCTTTCTTTTCTCCTGATACAGTGAATTGCAATTCTTTAGTTGTCTCACTAAATGTTTTAGAAAAAGCTGTTTACATTCGAAACTTTCAAATTTTTACGACTGAAATTGACCAACTCAAAGACAAAAATATTGCCGAAAAAATCACTTCTTTAATTATCGTTGAACCACCCAAATCCGTTGGCACATTTCAAGAACTTGGTGTTGGTATAAAAAAGGACTTTTATGAACTGCTCTACCAATGGAAGATACCAAATATAGAAATGCCATTAAATTTGTTTAATGAATGTATAGCATGCTTTGAACATAACAACAACGCTAATAGAAACGGTACTTATTTTCCTAAAAAGGTGTTATTGCATGTCGATTCAATGGGTTCCGATTTTGACACTAAGACATCAGAAATGTACGTAAACATCAATTCGGCTGCTCAAAAGTATGATGACAATCAAATCGTTATTGACTGGACTGACACCACTGAGCCAAACAAAGTACTTTTGACTCCAAATTGCAAAAATTACACACATGTAATAACACCAAAAACATTTCAAAATTTCAAACCACTGTATAGAGAAAGACTCATTGCTAAAATTGGTGGATATGACGATGACGAATACTTCAAAACGATTGTTAAAATTTTTAACGTGTGTTGTTCAACACATCTTGAAATTCAAACTATGGGTGATCTCTCAAATTTGGTTATTCCAGAATTTGTGAAAGACCTCAGTGTTTCACTTTATACACACGAAAAGCATATTGTTTGGTTACCTTGTAATATGAAGATTGAAAGTTTTTCGTCTTTAAACGTTAACTTGATCTTTACAGATGTCATTCCAACAGTCAAAACAGTCAAAGCAACAAAGTCGACGTTTCTGTTACAAAAAGAAACTCCAACAGATACGAAAAATAAAGAGTGGGTGATGGATAACAACTTTCCTTTTCCAAATGTCGAGGAAATAGAACTCCATGAGTGCTCTGATTTCGATTTTAAAATACCAGAAAAATTAACGACGTTCAATGTGTGTGATAATTCAAAAAACATCACAACGGTTGTTGGGCAAAATTGCGAACATTTAAATATCGAAAATGTTACAAATTCATCATTTTGCATTGACTGTAACAAATTTGACACATTTTCCTTTAAACAGTGCAACAACACAATTTTTGAGTTTATTAACACAAAGCCAAATTCATTGGATTTGATATTTTCAGAGTGTTCGACCCCTACAATTGCCGTTGAAAATAATACAATAAAAAAACTTATATTAAAGAAATGCAGTGGTGTGAAAATGGCGACAAATGTTGAAATAGGCGAATTTATTGTTGAAAATACAAAATTCAACAATTCAACAAAATGTACAGCAAAAAGTGTTTTTCTTATTAACATTACAGAGTTCCTTCCAATTGATTTTACTTACACAAAACATCTGAAACTGTTTGACGTCTATCAGTTTTCGTTCAACACAACTTTTGATTATTGTGAAATTTTGGAAGTCGCGTTTTGTAAGCATTTGGACTTCATTTTTCACAAAGAACATTTAAAAAACATCAAAATTGAGTCTTCACATAAATTGGTGTTTTCTGGTGAATTTCATAGCGTGAAAAAAATGTGTCTTATTGGCAAAGTGTCTGTTGAGTTCCCACAAAACACGAAATTTCCAATTGAAAATGTTGAAACAAACGAAGAAATTGATATGAATGAAGGTATGGCGCTATCACAATTTAATGAAATTAAA